TTCGAATTGACAATCAGCTTGAAATAATAGAATTCCCAACAAATCTTCATCCAGTTGTTTCTGCAGGAACAAGAATTGATTGTCATAGTAGATTTAATGGTAAATCTTTCTTTTTCCTTTACTTAAGGAAAATTTTTATTAAACTGATTATTTTAAAAGAACAAACAAAGAAAACCAAAGCTTCTTCATTTCAAATGTTTCTTTGCCTTTATCTTATTTATCATGAATCTTTTTGTTTCTTCAGAAATTTCAAATGATTTGACTCGAGACTTCGATGTGTCTCTTGATCAATCATTAGTTTTAGCTATTTTATCTGATATTTAAAACTAAAGAGTGTGGTTGGGTGTATATGGGTGTGAGTGTGGGGTAGGTGTATAGTTTATGAATATGTAGATGTGAGTGTGGTGTGGATGTTGGTATGGTGTGGTCGTGGGTGGGTGGGTGTGAAACAGAGTCTTCATGTCGCTAACACCCACACCCCACCCACATCCACACCTCACACCCAAACATCAAACCTTGAATACAATCTACAACATCATCCGTGATGTTTGATAACGGGGCATAATCTTTCTAACTAATTCCAAGCTCATCAGGTTTCTTAATAGCCGTCTTATCGATATCATGAAACAGACAATTCAGTCAAGGATTCCCTAATATCAGAAAAGTCACTGTTATCTCGAATAGTTAACAGAACTTATGCAATTGAATATTCCAATTCAAGGTACCAAATTGCAAGAAGCATTCTAAAAAAAAGCATCAATACTTACTTTTTGTTTGCTCTTCTGCGAAAGTTATTGTTGACAAAACTTCTTGCTGGATTTTCGAAGTACAATCCTATTTAATATCAATATGTAATTGCATCATTTGAGTACGGCGAAACAAGAGACATAAACTTGCATGCGAACAAATATCCTGTTTTTGTTGGAGCGTCTGCATACTGACTACAATCTTTTTTGCTTTTGCCAATAAAATGTATCATGTATGAAATTAATACAAAGAAGAGAGAAAATGACTAGCGTAGATTTATCTTCGAAATGTTCGAAATTTATTCATCGTTCATTGCTTCACATGTCGAGTTATCTATTACTTGTCATTATCAGTCAACAAGGCTAAATGAAGTTATTTGCAAGCATGGTACTTTTAGTTTTGCTGACTACATGTTTTTTTTTACACGTGGCTATTTCTTCCTTTTTCTTGTAATCGACGGACTGTTTTTCTTGTGTGCAAATAGTTTCTTTGTACCTTTTCAACATACAAAGCTAATCTAGCGTTGGCAGTTCTGTGCGAGAAGCCATTAGAGAATGGTTGGTGAAAACTCACTTTTTCATATTCATTCTCTTCTGTATGCCCGTTGTTAAACGATCTTTTTGAGAAAAATCTTAATTGTCCAATTATACTGCCACTTTTCCATGAAAGAAAAATTTATTAACTGAGTGCACAATAAGAAACAAATAAAATAAATATTCAGACTGTACACATTTATGCTGAACATTATAGAATCTTTTACATTGGCTTTCAATTGACTCAAATATTAGGAAGGTAGTGAAGAGCCGAATATCATAGTAGTGGAACAGATAACTTACATCCTAATTGTCCTGATTCAAAAGTACTGAAGTACACTTTATGGTCAAAGTCATATTTCCATCGGAGTTTATTATTCATACATTTGAGCTATGTAAAACAAGCATCCATTTTTCACGATACTTCTATGGATGAGTACAGAGGAACTCAGAAAAAGGTACTGAGAGTTAAAAGACGAGATAAAACGAACGATAGATCATGTCATTCGATAAGACAAAATCCTGTTGGTTGTTACTTTTCTATCCGCCTTCATCCACTCATTCACAAACAATCGCAATCTTTTGTACGATCGTCTATGGAAAGAAACCATACAAAACACATAATAAGTTGCTATGCAAGTGCTTCGTATCATAATAAAAAGAATAAAACAATGGTGACAGTCATTCATTGTTTCTTTTTTTTGTAACAAACGTGTCTGTTCACCATGGCATATTCATCTACGTTGAAATTGTTCTCTAGTCGTCACATAGAAAATTTTATTCTAATCTGGCTCGATAAACATACTGAACAAAATAATGATAGTCTTCAAACCATCGCAAAACTGCGACAAATTATCCATTGTGTCGAAACGTTCACATCTCCTGATGACTGTATAGATTATATTTCGAGTGTGGAAGATGTGCGTGTTTTATTAATTATTGCAAGTACGTTTGGTGATGAACTATTGCAGTACTTTAGCAAATTACCACAAATCGATGGCATTTACATTCTGAAGGGCGAGAATAAAAATGAACAGGAGCAATGGATCGGACCCATGAAAAAAATTAATAAAATTGCTACATGTACTGACAACATATGGGAACAAATTCGTCTCGATATCATTCGATTCGAACATAATTTAATACACTTTAATGTCATAGGAAGGGCAATACAAGATCAGAGCGATAGGCATGAAGAATCATTCATGTATGTTCAATTTCTTAAAGAAACGCTTCTCAAAACCACAGATGGAGATGAACATGAAATTGCACAATTCAGTCGTATTCATTACTTGGACAATGCGATCCAACTCGCGTTTATTGATGAATTTGAACAAACTTACAAAGAGCATTCACCTGTCTGGTGGTATACGCACCCAAACTTTCTCTATAAAACATTGAACAAAGCTCTCCAAGACCAACATGTTGAGACACTTTACGCATTTCGCTACTTTATTCGACAATTACACGAACAATTAGGTCATATACCGGAAAAGTGTGCCGAGCAAAATGCTATAACACTTTATCGTGGTCAAACTATGTTGAATTCACAATTCAATTTACTGAAAGAAAATGAAGGAGGTCTTCTTTCTATCTCCAATTTCTTGAACACAACTTCTGATATAGATGTCGCCATAATGTTCGCTGGTCATGATGATGAAAGAAAAGCAGTACTAATAGTGATTCATATTGACTTGTCGACAAGAGACAATATATCGTATGCAAATATCGATTCTATTAGCTTCTTCAATAGACTAGAGAAAGAGTGGCTGTTCTCAATGGGTTCTGTTTTTCGAATTAGTTCGATCGAGAAGAACAATGATGATATATGGTTTGTTCATCTGACATTCATAAATGATCAAGATCAACAACTGATTGTATTAGCGGAACATATGAGACAGACTATTCAGCATTCCATTCCTCTATGTCAATTAGGTCGACTGATGTTGGAAACCGATCAACCAGAAAGAGCGGAACAATTCTATCGAACAGCTCTCGAAAAAGTGACTGAATGGAAGGATCAAGTAGCGATATTACATCAACTTGGTACTCTCTATGATACACAAGATGATTTAGACGAAGCACTAGATCAATTCCATCGTTCACTTGAAATCTATCGAAAAAACGTATCTGATGATGATCCAATACTTACATGGACATACAATGTTATTGGACTAATCTACAGCAAGCAACAAAAGTTTGATCTTTCTCTAGAATATTTTAATCGTGCACTTCGTATTGAACTCATTATGCCTCAGTCTAATGAAGAAAACATTGCTCGCTGCTACAATAATATAGCCAGTGTCTATGCTGATCAAGATAAGTATCCGGATGCTCTGATTTACTATCGTCATGAGCTTGATATTAAACTAAAGATACTTCCTTCATCTCATTCTTCAATTGCTGTCTCTTACAGTAATGTTGCATACATGCTTTACTGTTTAAATCGGTTCGCTGAAGCTGTCGAATATCAACAAAACGCACTCGACATTGATCTTCAATCATTACCTTCAGAACATATACAGACAAAACAGCATAAAAATTTGCTCACAGCTTATCAAAAGTTAATACATGTCAGAAATATTCGTGATGAATCAAAACCTTGAACCATATTGTATGTCGAGTTATTAGACTATGCTATAACCTAGTCGATCATGAATAGTTTGAAAGCTAGTGGAGTACTCGAGTATGCAAATTTCACTTTCTGTCTAAACTATCCACATTTTGGAGTATAATCGGATTCAAATTGATTCCTATTGATTATTTTCGTAAGAAAAAGACAGACATGAGATGAACATAAAAGTTGAAAACGTTTATAGAAATCATTAAAGTCGACTAAAATATTCGAAACGAATTTTGAATCCATGTATTATATAATTGCAATATCTAAGTTTGAGACAATTTATATACTAGTCCAGAGTTTCGCTTGGCAACATTTCCATGATTTTCATATACGAGCAATCGAAAGCCAACTGCGAAAAATTATGGTTTTGCAAACGAATATCGAGAAAAGCACCTATTATAAATTTTTATATATACAATCAATGAAAAATGGTTAACAAGTAATAAAAGGTTGAAGCAGATCAAGTAGATAGTATAGAATTAGAACAGATAATTTTTAAGTACGAGGAAATATCTCCGTGCGTTTGTATTTCATCTTATCGTTTACAAACTATTACAACAGTATAAAAAATTGATGTATCATTGGTATCAATCAATTTTAATCATTCAAACTCCCTCGCGAACATACCAAGTATTGAGTATGAGTATTAGTCTGAACGTGAATAAAAGAAGTGTAATACTTGCATACATCAAGATTCACACTCGGGTAAAGCAAGTCAAAGAAAATTCTTTCTGTTTTTATAACAATTAATACAGATGTATTGAACTTTCATAATGGACGTTTTGATAGCCATGGAAATTTGCATAATGGTGCGTAACAGTAATTAAGATGTGTTAACAAATAATAACTATCATTGTTCCAAACGATTTGACGTTCTTAGAGTATATCTATCATATGTTTTCAAATAATTTTGATTGATCGTGTGATATGAACATGTAACAGAACTGAATATTTTATACTTTCAATGATTCAAGTTGACTTATTGTGCTAAGAAAGTATTTGACGAAATGTCAGTGTTTCCACTTGCGATAAAACATTATGTTTTCAAAAGAAACGTGCAAGTTTGTTTTTGCATGGGAAATAAAAGGGAAATATGGTAAGTGACTATTTGCTTTCTGTATCTAAATCAAAAAGTTTTTCGAAAAAGCAAAGAAGACAGAAAACAAAATGGCTTTCTCTTTTATGTTAGAATACTTAGCTGTTTTTGTTGAACAGTGTTATAGTACAATCTAGTTATTGTATTTGACGATACGTGGAGGTGAAATGATGTTCAGGTTTTTTACATGATCGAAGCATGAAAGAAATAATCGTTCAGAAGTATTTCGAGCTAGATGTGATTAGTACAAATTTAACCACTCTAGACAGAAACAAAAAAACTTGGTTATGATGTATCAGTTTGGTTGGACAACTTTCTAAACACAGGCATATTCATGACATTATAAATCGTTCACTATTTGAAATTTAGACTAGAGAAAAATTACTTTCTTTCTGACTAATTGTTTTCACTTTGTATTCGAGGATGGAATGTTGATGCATGAGTATGAGTTGAGATGAGGGTGTGAGTGTGGGTCTTATTTTAAAGTTCATCCACACCCACATCCGACTTCTCCAGCCTTTCTCTTCCATCCTCATGTTTTTCTTTTGTGCTAGTGTTCTTTTAGGAAATTCTTGATAAGCACTTGGTTCTTTATAGTACGTTAGTCAACCGAATGAACTATACAAAAGAAAACCATCTATTTTCTTTCATGAGAAACCACTCTCAACTGCCAAATCATTTTTGAGTTCGGACTCTTTGTATAAGATGAATTGTATTGAATTATGAAAAACCTCATGTAAAGAAATCCCCTTAGACTTTATGTTCAGACTTATGGGCGTTTTACTGCAACTTTAGCTTATGTCTGAGGAAAGTTTCTGATGTTTCCATACCAGATCATTAACGGATTCAATCAGGATTCTTCAAGAATTGCTCTTTTCTCACGAGGAAACGACTAAATCTCTGATGAAGTGTATAGCCACGGAAATTCATGATCCTAACAGGGTTTGAAACATAATTCAATCAGAATCCTTACTGTTGAACGAATTTTTGTCGACTGAGAGTTATTCAAAAAGAAATATATCATTGTGTATGTATCCATCCTATTTTAAATAATAATCTAAAACACTGATACACTTTTCTGTTGAATTTTCGTTACGATCCTCTCCTGGTTTACCTGCAACAGTTGACCGGATCTTCGGATAAGGATTCAGATCGGATCCGGTCTAAAACTTGACTTAATTTTGAAACAAGCCTCTCTATTATTTCTGTAAGAATCCTAAGCAGGATAATGATAAATTACGGTAGAAGCCTGCGTTTATAACTTCCAGAAGCATCTAGATAAGAATCTGAATACGCCCCAACCAGGAGAAGCTATGCAGATAGGAATTATCAGAAACTAAGATAGAATTCTGAGGAAAACTTGGTAAGATCCTTGAAATCCGGCATTCTAATAAATCTTTCCTGAATCTCTCAAGGAAAGAAAAGAATTAAGACTAGTAGTCGCATGGTCTATACTGACCAACTGCATGCTGATCTTTCGAGCTGAGATTTAGTAAATAAACAAGTCTATCAGGGAGCAAACTGTTCTAAAGATTAAAGCTCAAAACAATTCATCCATCCTGAGATATTAATACCTTAAAAAAACAGGGTGTGGGTGTAGATATGGAATCAATGTTACACCCACATTCCATAATGGTGTTTGTATTAATTGATCACTAAAATGAGTTGTTAGTGGCGTGGATGATGCATCATTATAAATAAGTGTTATTGATTCAGAAGAAATTCTGATTGACATAACCGATGATATAGAACCAAGAGAGAGACCTGTAGTTCTATTCTATGTTGCTTATATCTATATCGGAAAGTAAGAGAAACAAAAACGTTTACAACCAGGCAAAGCATAGAAGAAAGCAATGTTGACGTGATGGACGTCCATTACCAAGATCAATGTGATCTTATTCATTTGAAGTCATCGAGGTTTCCTGTCGTTTTTCAATCTATTAGTTGTTTTTGTATTTCTCTGTTCTTTGCCACTTTAACCAAGACCCGTAGCAAAAATCTCGATTGGCAGTGCAACATATGCTACTACAATCAAACAGAAATACGTCAAATAAAAGAACATCGTCTACAAAGAAGAAAAACGAGAGGTCAAAAAAACATGTGAAGTTTTACAAACGCTGAATACATTAATTTGTTTGTTCAGATGATCCTTTTGATGATCTGTATGTGTTTTCCGATTTCTTCTATGAACGTCAAATCTGAATCATACTACGTTATGGGTGTTTTTAAAATATATGTGAAACATTATTTATCACAACGCGTGATACTAAACGACTTTCTCGTGGAAATTAATGAATGCTTGGCAAATATAATTTGTATTCATGTATTTTATTGCATAGCTTCCTACTGAAAAGTAACTCATTCAAGGTATTCGCTACTCACGAAAAAGAATTCTGTACAAAGGAGCATTCCAAAGTAAACTTTTAGAAAAAAAATGTCATTTTTGTGTTTAAATGTTTTTGTTTTTCTTTGCAATGAGTATAAACGCATGGATTTTTATTTCTGACTAGTTTATATGTATCCTTTTTATTTCCCAAATGGTTTTTTTCAAGTTAGAATGTCGCACAAAAATATCGTTCGAACCTGTTTAATATTATGCATTACGATGTGTTTATTTATCATGTATCTGAATGCAGTTTGTGAGTTCTTTGATTGAAAACGTGCATTTTTATAAATACGCTTGAACGTATCTTTTTTCACTGCGCTTTTCATGAAAAATGGTATTTTTAATAAACATGTTTGAACACACTTTTTAATGTATGTTCTTTTTACGAACGTGGGGAACACATTTTCTACTGCATTCGCGTTATGAGAATGAGTTGTTTCACAAGCAAGTTCAAACAATAATTAGATTCATGCTTTTAGTAAAAACATCGTTATATGACCTAAGAATCTGCTATCATTTAGAAAAACATTCTCACAGAATCACATTCGATAAGAAATCTCTTAAACATTCTCTTTTAGAGTAAATTTCAACAAAACTCCTAGCAACTCATATTCAGCACATTATTTTCATGATATTTTCAAGATTTTTCTTCAGAGTAAACAGACTATAAACACAAATAGCAGTCATAATTTTTCATTCTTATTTTCTCGTTTTTCTTCTGTTTATATTTCCTCTTTTATCCTGTTGCTTCAAAAGTCGTTAGATGTATTGTAAAAATATGCATTTTTTATCTGTAATTGATCAACTGGTAGTGTTACAATAAAGTTGGATAAAGAAAAATCGAGTCATACACAGTATTTCAGTTGGATAACGATTTTTCAAAACATTTTAGCTTGCGTTTTTTTGTTTATGAATTTAAAAACTCTTTTAAGAATGTATCTACTCGTTCCTTTGAACTTTTCAAAATGATTTGATAGATGACGTTAATAGTGAAGACAATATATAAACATGTTTGTCAGAAATATTGAGTTTCACCCAAGTAATTGCCATTCATCAATAGAAAAAAGCAAGTGTTTATTAAAAAAAAACGTTATTTAGTGAAGATGCTGCGTATGTCAATGTGCATTTGCCGCTAGAAATATGAGACAACATCGAAGAACTGAAAAGATAAAAAACGTTGATGATTTTTCAGTAATATGGACACTGAAACTGATGCATTTCGATTTTACTGATGAAAATTCATATGTTCATTCACGTCATTGAAATATACAAATTTTTATGTTTTTTTTTATCATCTGAAATGTCATGTTTTTTGTTCTTGACACAAAGGTCATGGCATTTTTTAAAAATTTTTAAGCCCCGAGGTATAGTCCTAATAGAAATCTAAGTCTTTAAAGCTGAGTAATCAGAGAATATGCCTGTGTGTCTTTTTCAAAACCATCTTCAAAGTATCTAATTAGAAAAGATGAGATTTTCATTTTTTTCAACCCAAAAGCCTTTT